TGATTTTCTTAAAAACACATAAAATCGTATTATAACATCGACAGAGACAAATAATAAAATGGAACATTGAAATTGAGATGTGTCTCACTGTATTACACGAGTACTTTTCTAATATCCATTAATACAGTACTTCATGCATAAAAAATGATTTTTGAGAGTTTTTGTCAAATGCTTTATAATATAGTATAGATTATATATACATTATATCTGGTTTCGTTCGGATAACTGTGGGTACCTATAATTCAAAACCGAAACAAACCCGCRAATACCTGGTTTTTCATTTTTTTTTTGTTCTCAAATTTTCCGATTACCTATTTTCAGGTTTCCAATCAAACATTTCGATCAGGTTATAAAAATGGTTCTTTAATAAAATAATATAGAAAAGAAAATAAAAAGACCAAAAAGTCCAATTTAACTGGAGTCTACTAATGCGCTTAGGTTCAAGTACCAAATTTGATGCTAAATTTGCCGGCTAATCAGGAGTGCTCAAAAAACCAACCAACCTGACAAACCCAACCTGAAAAAACCCAAAAAAAAAAAAACTCAACACAATATAACCCGGCACATAGTTAATACATAATTAAACAAAACCACATCTATTAGGTTGAAATTAGGTTAGAGTAATTTTGAACCCAACCTGATAAACCCGACTTGATAAACCCGATGGCTTTCTATGCTATGAATTTAAGATGATTGTTAAGTCATTGACTAATATATGTACATCAGACATTAAACCAACTCATAACTAGATACATTCAAAATTATATTACAATTTCAACCGTAATTTTATCTTTTTTTTTTTTTTTGCATAAACCTTTAACTTTTTTTACTTTGTAAGCTTTTTTTGTATATTTTCATTTAACCACAAAATAGTTAGCTAAATCGTAAAATGATTTATCAAAATTTCAACCCGACCAACTTAAACCGCACGGTTTGGGTTGGGTTGCGTTGTAGGTTTACATTTTTACTTGAGTTGAAATTTTTTAAACCATAAACATTGAGTTAGGTTATTTAAATACCTTCAACCTGATCAACCCAATCCATATACAAACCAACCCTGATGACTAAACCTTATAATTWATGAAATTTACCACAAAAGTTGATAATAAGAGCCAAYCATAAGAACGAGTAGTATAATTTATACTATATTATAAAGCATTTGACAAAAAAAAATAAAAACCATTTTTTTATGCATGAAAAACTGTATATTTGTATATTACTTAAAATTCAAGATTACAAGTAAATTATGCATAAGTACAACTTATTAAAACTTCATGTTTGAATTCGCGTAACTAACTGCGGATAAACATAACCAATTAGAGAATAAATATCTCATTTTAAAATATAAACAAATTTAAAATATAATTAGGATAATTATCGAATTCTAACAAAATAATTTATTATTATTATTATAAAAAAAATTATATTATTAAACCAAATATATGTTACTTCGTTATTAAACCTAAATTAGATTATAATAAAAAAAATATGAATTAGAAAACTAAAGAAAAAATATGAATTTTAAATAGTTAATTTGATACTAATATCGATATATTTTTGTCAAAATTTTATGGTATTTTCAAATTTATATTTTATTCAAAAATAAAACATTATCGTTTTTTTTTAATTACATACAACCATACTATAAAATCAATTGAAATAAAAAATAAAATAAAATATTAAAATCAAAATATATTTTATTACATGAATACATTTTTAATTTACTAAAAAAACTTGTAGAAAAATTTATAACCAAGATGTATCTCATTGTTGGAAGTAGTATAAATCTTTTGTAGATAAATTTGACATAGGCCCAAACATATATATATTACCGTTTTACTCCTATGGCGGTGTCGTTTTGATTTTCGTCCCACCCGACTTGGGCAGCAAGACTTTGTTTCTGTCAAGTCGTCTCCCCTAGGGTTTTAATCTCAGTTTCTTGGTATTATCACTCGGTAAATCGAATCCTCACGTACAGTTGCTATTAAAATCGTAAATATAAATCTCGATCATTCAAGTATGGTGAAGAAATCGACGGAAATTGGTGGATTATCGATCGCGCCATTTTTGTTGAAGTGTTATGAGATGGTAGATGATCCTACGACGGACGCTTTAATTTCATGGAGTCCGACTAATGACAGTTTCATAGTGTGGAATGAARCTGAGTTTACTTCCGAATTGCTTCCCAAGTACTTCAAGCACAATAACTATTCCAGCTTCCAACGCCAACTCAATATCTACGTGAGATTTCTAATATTTCCCCTCAATTTCCGTGGTTTTTTGGATTGGTCTTTCTGATTACTTGCCGAATTTCTCACTTCTGTTATCTGCTTAATTTCCTAAACTGATTATGTGTTGAATGATCTATCTTCTAACGAATTTTATATCCTCATGTAGTTTCTCTGTTTTTTAACTCTGGATGATTTTTGCCTCTGTTCATGTTTTTAATTTTGTCATCTGGAATTCCGTACGCGTTGTGATTTAAGTAATGAGATGTGTGATTAACCATGATGCTACTATCATCGATTGATTTTTACTACAGTTACTCGAATAATATGTTCATAGAGTCAATACCTTGTTTCTTTYGGTGTTCATATCTTGTGTGGGGATTGCTTTTTTGGGGTATCATTTATAAGGACATTTGGATTAGATATTGATGTTCTTTGGTTTTTCTCTATCTATGGCTACAATGTATTGATACCCTTCATGTTAGTTGACATTTATTGAGAAAGAAGGTGGAGTTCTTTTGCTTTCTTGGAGGGATTATATCCAAGTTATACCCTCCTAGAGGWTAGGAAGGAAATAGCTACTGTGCACATCTCTGTACGACTGTATCCGAACACTTATCAACTTCAACTAAGCAATTTCTTCAGGCATACCACTGTACCAGTAATCACCTCTGTTGGGGTTCAGMACGTGGAATTTCCTATGGGCTTGACCTCTTCAAGCCAGGACATGTGTTAGGGCTGTGATTAAAATGGACTCATGCGAGATGGTAGCTTCACCTTCTTTAGTCCCATAAAATCATCACTCGTTAGCAACCAAGGGGTGTTCCATCTGCATTCTTTTAGATGTTGAAAGTATTCTGCATGAAGTCTATTTATGAAATGCTAGTCTTTCTCCCCATTAAGTTATCTTTCAACATAAAGTCTTCATATGAAAGAAATAAGGAATAATTTGTTGATTGGTATCCCACTTCTATGGAACAAATTTCTGCAACATGGTTATCTTCAAAGAAGATGCTTTCAGGGATGAAGTATGGATGTGAAGGGAGGGGGAAGGGGATAATATCTTTGTTGAAGATGATTTGTTGAAAAACTCCAGATATGTTTTTGAATGTGGTAACAATCCTTTTCAAAGGCAAAGGGTTGCCACCTGATCATTAACTTCTATTTGACACTTTGATTTAATTTTAATTTCATTATACATGGTATAATCTTGAATATATAATCCACATTCGCATATGCAAACGACCAATGTTATCAGATTTTCCCTCACCAGTCACCACTATGGGTCAATCCATTCATCGCATATAGCCACCGCCTATGGGCGTGTTTGCAAATGTATTCATGAAAATAAAATAAATTTGATGAAATCTCAAGGAATACTGCAGAACACATACAAATCGTGGCAATCGAATTTGAGCATGGAGATTAAATTTGAATATGTGGGCAATCTACATTTAGATATTTTGTATGGTTATTAGATGCATCATCTTCTTTGAATTAGGTTTATGCTATGGATTTGTATATGGGGGAGAATATAAGTATAGAACATTCGACCGAAAAGAGAAATAAACCTGAAAGAAGGGGGTGATAATGTTGACACTTGACACATCATTATATTCTATTCTTTTCATTGACTTTAATGAGATCCAACTTGAACTTCACAAGATATCCATATACAATATATAACACTAAATTCATCAACTCCTTTTGAAAACCTATCACTAGAATTACAACCTTGTAAATGGGAAGACCATTCTTTTCTTTCTTAGAGCATCTCCAATGGTAAAAATAAAGACTTGATGAAAAGGTTGAGAATCACTTGATGAAAAGGTTAACCATTGGAGCAATAACTTGAAGAATCGGTTGACATCCAAAAGCTTGGGGGGATGTCAAGTGTTTGAAGATTTATGTATGTGTATTAAAAATACAAAAAAAGCTTTTGAAAGATTTGACCACGGAGTAAGTATTTGAAGATGATTTTTGTTTGGTGAAAATCTGATGTGGCAAATAGATCAAGTCTTTTAAAGACTTGATCATTACGGATGCTCTTAGATGACGAAAATTCATGATCATTTGTTATAATCGATTGTGTTTATATTATGATTGATACTTGCGAATTAAATGCCAACCAATTGTTTATACACAAAGTGATTTCTGAAGATTCACTTGAATAATTTGTTATTATCATTGGTAATGCCTACTATTCCATTAAAATATACACATACACATGCATGCCTCAAATGTACCCTACTAAAGTATTTCACCTACCAAGTTCAGTACACCAAAATTATGTACCTACCTAAATTTGGAAGACGTGGTTGTTGTGGAATGAAGAACAGCATCCATGAGAGTAAATGTTGTGCCTGTGGCAAAGGACAAGCTGCGCACGATGAAACACGTCAGCATGAACATTTGTGGTGAATCCCTAAATGACTTGAGATATTTAGAAGAGCAGATCAGATCTTGACCATTATTTGCTCCATTGATGGACACAGTCTAACCCATCTGGAGTCAGTATTTGATTGTTAGAAGAGAGTACTGTTTAGGCAGTTGCTTCCCCTAAATGTTAACTGCATCTAATGTCATGCATTGCATCTCTCGAGAAGGGGAACAAACAGTTCAGTGCTAGTGATTTTAATTGAAATTTTTTTCAGGGATTTAGGAAAACTGATACAGATCGATGGGAATTCGCGAACGATGGATTTGTCAAAGGCCAAAAGCATTTGTTGAACTCTATCAACAGAAAAAAGGTGACACAGGTCACAGCTCAGCAAAAAGTCACACAGCAGAAAGCTCCTGAGCTGGCCAAGCTCATAGATGTCAGCAAACATGAAGAAAAACTATGGAAGGAAGTAGAGAGTCTCAAGACCGATAAGAACATGTTGATGCAGGAATTAATTAAACAGAGGGAACACCAAGAGACTTCACAAACTAAGATGTTGGTTCTGCGAGAGCAACTAAAAGGTATGGAAAAAAACCAGCACCAAATGCTGTCATTCATAGTTATGGCGATGCAGAGCCCTGGTTTTTTCAGTCAACTGTCGCCGCCAGTACAACGTACCTGGCTTAAGTCCGAACGTAGTAGTAAAACTATACTGAAACCAGTTACCAAAGATAGTAAAAGAGTAGTTCACCCTCAGGAGGGTGCAATCGTGAAATATCAGCCACCAATTGAAACACCAGCCATAATTTTGGAAGATCCAGTGGAATTGGATCTTACTTGTGAGGATCTTTTTATGGATTTCATGCCTGGATCGACATTGGATGACGGTATAAATTCTCCAGAAAATTTGGTTCCATTTATATTCCATGATCTGCCTGATAGTGAGAACATGTTAGATCAGCTTCTTTCTAGTCCCGTAAACAAAACCAGCAAAGATCTTATTGACGATGGACGCGGTACCCAGGAAATAGGGCCAGATGGGTTTCAATTTTTGACAGAAGGATTTGGGAGATCCCTAACTGTGTCAACCAAGGAGGGGAACTTCATTGTATAGTGGGCTTTAGTAGTTCTTGAAAGCAACCATGGGGATGATATTTTTGGCCTTCTCATACAGCTTTATCATCCAACTTCATTAGCTTCAGTATTGTGGTATTAAGTTTATATCCTCAAAATCGATTTCTCGATCTAAAACTCTAACTTGTAAATTGCTGATATTATAAATACATTGTTTAAACACTACTTGCCCCGGCCCCTGGAGAATAAACAAGAAAATCCCAAGTAGCCTCACAGCTTGAACAGGTGACCTCTGAGGTGAATCCTCGAAAGTCCAAACGTTATTGCTAGTTGAGCTAACTCCACAAGGTTTGTAGTACAGTTGGTTCTAGCATGGTATAGTTGTAAATGCTAGGGGGAATGCTTGAACTGCTGGTTGGACCAGTCCATCCTCACTCCAGGCTTCATCAAAACCTTAAAGCTGGGATCGGCCAAACGGAGACTCGTTAAGCCTGACCGGCCTGGAACCAGATTTTTTTTTTTTTTTTGGCAAAAGGCCGGTTGTAATCGAGACGAAGCTTGGATCAAAGGCCAAAGCCCGGTTGTAATCGAGACAAAGCTTGGATCAAGGGCCAAAGCCCAGTTGAAACAGGTTCCGTTGCTTTTCGGTCTATGGCAAAGACCGTAGACAAAAGTACCTAAGAATGTTATGCTCCTTTTGGTTATCTAGTGTTATAAAACATTTAGATAAAAGTGAATAGTTTATCAATCATCAATTAATATTTAATCTATACTATATTATAAAGTATTTAATAAAAAAATTTAAAAACTGTTTTTATGTATGAAGTACTGTTTATTGATGTATATTACTTAAAATTCAAAATTATAAGTAAATTGAACGTAAGTACAACTTATTAAAGCTCCATTTTGAATTCGTGTAACTAACTGTGGATAAACATAATCAAATAAAAGATAAATATCTTATTTTAAAATATAAAAAATTTAAAATATGTGAGTTCTAATAAAATAATTGATTATTATATTTATTATCATTCAAAAATAAAAATATTTTCTTTTTCTCAAAACCACAAAGCATCATAATATTGAAAAATCTAAAATATAAAAACGAAACATTAAAATCAAAATGTGTCTCGCTACATTGTTCGAGTACCGTTCTAGTAATACATAATTTGGTAAGTTTTAAGTTTACAAGTAATTATTATATATTTATTATTTAAATTAAGAAACCATCAAATACAAGATAATTTCGAGTCAAATTGAATATTTTATTTATCTATGTAAAAAGTACTTCATCACCACAAGGATGGTGCCTAAAGTACCAGGAGGTCCCAAGTTCAAATCCAAAGAGGAATAAAAATCCTCTTGTGGCCACGGAGGTTCAAGTACGGTGACTCCAGACTATCTGCAAAGCAGGTAGACACCCTGGAATTAGTCGGTTCGTATAACGGGTTGGATATTCATGTTAATAAATAAAAAATACTTCGGCATTCTCTTCAATGGGAAAAAGGGATTTATCACATATTCTTTCCTTTTTTAAATTTGGATATAAATTTTTGGATATTTTTAACTCGTGCTTCAAATTATCAAGACATTTAATCAATAATTATATGATTTTTATTTTATTTAAACATAAGCTCTTTAAATCTTATTTTTCAATAAGAATTAAATTTATTTTTCTTTCTTAGCTTACAATAAGATATTGTACGTGGTGCATCAATTTTTCAGTGCATCAGATAGATACGTAGCTAGTCTTTAGTGATTGCGTTATGCATATCGTATTTTGGGTCTAAGAATGATGAGTTGGTGTGGTCCGTGTGGATATGATTCCTCGATCCTACATGAAATTGTAACTAATGCTAAGATGTCGATCTTTTAGTGCTCATAAAATGTATTGGTGCAAGTGTAATGTTTTCAAAAATAATATCAAACTTGTATATTTTGTAACTCTTAATGTTTCAAGAGTTGGGTTTGTGAGAAAGGTTAATATTCACATAATATAACGTAACTTTCACATAAAGTATGTGAATGTATCTTTATATTGTGTATGAAGACATGTAAAATTGACCTACTTTACAAAAATTGATGAGAGTATACATTCAGATTCTGTAAAAATATAATGTAACATTTAGATAAATATAAAGATACCTACATTATTTCTCAGCTTTCTATTAAAAATCCTTTTTCTCATGTGATCAGAAAGTTTAGTACTAAATACCATAATGCTCTTGAATGCATGGATGGACCTAGCAAGGTGCCACCGTATTAATCCTCTATCAAAAGGTAAAAAAATTTAGATTCGTGAAAGATGCAACCGTATTAATTTATTGTGTACCATCACATGTATTTTAAAACTACAATGAGTATAAGTTTACTTGGTAAAGTTGGTTTGCAAGACTTTTTATCCACCCTAGACACGAGTGTGAATCCTGTTTCTTAATCAAATAGTGTCACCTTTTGAAAAATTTTCCTATATTTATTTCACACCAAAGAATTTCTAGATTGTTATAGCAAAATTTGATCAAATGTGATTTGGACTATTGAGCATCATGAAAGGTCAAGGCCAAAACATTTGAATCATGATGTAGAAATGAAGACAATCTGGAATATTATTTTATTTCTAATTTATTAAAATAGTTTAAGTGGGAAAGAGAAATTATTTTTTGAAGACAAATAAATATGGAGGTCAAAATAATAATTTTCAAGACTTCTAGAAATTAAAAATCTTATGTTAAAAAAAATCAAACTTATATCAACCACAAGGGTGATGTCTGATTAGTTTAAGCTTGAACTTCAAAGATCAAAAATGCCTAAAGGTTTCAGGTTCAAATCCAAAGAAGAATAAAAATCCGTTTGTGACCACTGAAGTTCAAATGCGACGACTCCGGGCTATCTGCAAAACAGGTGGTCGCCCTGGGGTTAGTCGGTTCGCCTAGCATGTTGTATATCTAGGTTAATTAAAAAAATGTTTATATTGAATAGAAATATTGTGTTATTAAGTATGCCAGACTTTGGCCCTTTTTAATGCTTTTAGAGTCGATGTACCATTTTGTAGTCATTTTTTGTATGTTTTTAGGTGCGTAGAGTTTAATCTTCTAAAGAAGTTAACATGCATTTGATACGTAACGCCATTTTATTCGAAGATCATTTCGTATAATTTGATCATTCATGATATCCCTTAAATGGTTTAACTAAATTATTTAAAAAAAACCGAAAATGCTCAAAATTCTAAGAATCGTGAATACAATCTTTTTTTTATTAACCAGGATATCCAACCCATTATGCGAGCTGACTAATCCCAGAGCGACCACCTGCTTTGCAGATAGCCCGGAGTCACCGCATTTGAACCTCCGTGACCACAAGGAGATTTTTATTTCTTTTTGGATTTGAACCTGGTACATTCTGGTACTTTTGACCTTTGTAGCCAACCTCAAACCAATCAGGCATAACCCTTGTGGTTTATGAATACAATCTTGGTAAAATTAAATAAAAAACTGTTTAAATATTGAATGAATGATAAGAAATTAAGTAAATCATTACAAATAAATAAATAACTCTATAAAAGAACAAAAACACTCTTTCATCATCCCACATGTTTCTGTATATTTACAAAACTGATAATTTTTCATCTTACTTTTTTTAAAGCAGTATGAGTAATCGACATTTGTACGTGCATAAAGAGATAAAACAATTAAGGCAACTCTCACTCGACTTATACAACTTTACCTTTCTACTTTTATCGTATTTCTCGTTCTAATTTTTTCATATTTAACATATGTTCAACAAGGAAAACTTGACGAGAAGGCGTATTTTACCTTTATCTAGGTGAAGTTTAGCTCCAGTGACTAACCAATGTCCGGGATTGTCCCTTGGTCCCCTACATATCTGTGTCATATCGACAAACTTCAAAAGTTTTGGTGTCGGTACCTCTACTGGTGGCCCATTTGGATAAATACCAGAATCTACCACCACATCAGATGATTTCAACTCTTTCTCTGGATTTCCAGATAATGATTGACTTATTGCTGATAAAAATCCCGACCTTTGTGATTGATAGACTGGACCTGAAGCCCAGGATGATTGAACAATGCATGAGCTCGAAACCTTGGAATAAAGCAACCGGATATGCAAAATGCTCCTCGAGTCATGATTTTTGACATGAAGTTGAGCTCCTGTGACAATATATGAGGCATCTTTTCCTGGTAACGCCCAGTCAGGATCATATTTTACTGGGGCCGTGCAAACATGTGAAAACTTCTTCCATTGAATCGGTTCAAAAAAGCGTGAATCGCCAATTTCTTCTGATCCGCGCCAATTTAAAGCTTCACTTATTCTATCTTGAAATAGAACCGGTGTCCCCGATAAATGTTGAAGATGTATAGCTAGCCTGATATAAAAAAAATCTTGTTACAACTAATACAACCAACAGATAATACACATCCATGTGAACATCATTACCTGTTGCATTTCATACCCTCGAGATAGAGCCGCATTCCTGTTACAGGCATCTTTGCTACCGTGACCTGTAAATAACAATTTTTAACATTTTGTTATATTATCACCGAATATATCAAAATAAGGTGATTATTGTTTTCCAACCCATCTCATTGAACTTACGATAAATTCATTACTGTAATACAACCTAATAAGCAGTTCTAACAAAATACTTAATTATTATCCTTATAAAAAAATATTATTAAATCCAAAATAAATTACCTTCGTTATTATATCTAAAATAAATTATAATAAAAAAATTGAATTAAAGAAACTAAATAAAAAATAAGAACTTTTAAATAGTTAATTTGATACTAATATTGATATATTTATTTTCAAAATTTTATGATATATTCAAATTCATATTTTATTTAAAAACAAAAACATCATCTTTTTCTCAAAACCACATAAACACCGTATTAAAACATCTATGGAGATGGAATAAAACAAAACACTAAAATCAAGATATATCTCGTTGCATTGCGTGAGTACCCTTCTAGTATAATATATAGAGAGAGAGGGGTTCAAAAGAGAACAATAACTAAATTAAAGAACATGAAAACGGCGAAATCACGTGCAAAATCAAAATCATATGTAATTTTACACTAACGGACAACAAAAAGGTGTACGAGCGACGTGGTCCGCGATCTCAGATCACAGCCAAAGTCTCGTGAATCACATGTGATTTTACACATAATTTTACTATTATCTTATTCTCCTATTTAACTACTGTTTTCACATGAACTTAACTCTCTGTCTAACAGTAGAAAATACTTGAAATTAACAATTATTAAATTTTACCTGAGTTGTGTTAACATAGAGCTTGGGCCCCATCAAGCTGAAATTCAAGGCTGGGCTTCTTATGGCCCTATTTGTAGTTGGGCCCAATGATAGATCACTATGAACTGGAGCCCATAGTTTATGGGCCTGAAAGTCCAAGAAATATTCCAAATCTTCAATAGGAGGCTTATCTGCACACATAACCATAATAACACACTTTTACACCCATCATTAATTATAACATTTGATTTGATATATATTTTAATTAAAAAATTACTGACTAAAATTAAATTATTGATTTTTAACTAAAATTAACCATATTGCATTTATTTAAATCATAAATAAATGTTGTTTTTAAAATTAAAAATGTATTTATCGAAATCAAAAGAAAAGAGAATAATACATACAACGAAGGTACAGATTGATGGCATGCGATAAGAAACCCTTGCCGGGAACACCGGGAAGGAGAGACGTGATCGGGATGAAGTCAAAATTAATTGCGTCTGGCATCGACGGTACTGTCAATAGCCATTCACAATGTGTGCTCGACATTAAATCTCCACCTCTCTTTGAACACATGACGCTTAGTCCCTGCAAAACACATAAATACGTAAATAAATATCTTCACTACATCAAATACGACTTTCTAGATCGGTCTTACAAATATCTATCATATTCAACCAAAAAAAAAATATTGGTTTTGAATAAGCGTCCGAAAATTAACATCAAAACATTGTGTACTAAATGATTCTAATTATTCACATCCAGGTAAACAACCATATTTCTGGTTAATAACAAACATTATCTATATCAATTTTAAAAATAATTATTTAAAAAATTAATTATGATACCATCAAAACTATAAAAGAGCATAAATAGTCACATATAAAATCAAGTCAATATATTTATTGTATTCCCACATGAAAGTTAGTAACTTTGAATGGTCAAATAAATATATCATGAAATGTCACTTTCACATTTTTGTTAAAGATTAATTAATACTTGTACAACACGGCAACCCCACATTTTATATATATATATATATATAGGGGAGCGATCAAATTGGAGTAGATACATAAATTCGTAAATAAATATCTTTACTGGAAAATAGATATGAAATCAACCTAAGATCAGTTACGACCAAACTGAAATTAAGGATCAAAATATCACGTTCTGTATATTTGTATGTAGAATTGATTTAAAAAAACCAAAAACATGTGTTTTTCAATGAAGATCAAACCTACATCCTTCGTTGTGGCAGACGAGAAGCCGTTGAAGAACATTGGTTCCAGATCAAAGACGCTACTAAATGCTAAGGGTGTCTGCAATTTTCATTTACACGACATATCAGTAACCATCAGAATAAAAATTAAGTACAAGCAAACATTACAGTATATACTTTATGTTTTCTAATATATACAGTTACATATTTATCTGTTTTTTTTACAGTTTAAATTAATTAAAAATATCTAACCTTGTTCTTGTGATCTTTGGATTTGAGTTGATGAGGAGAGAAAGTGCAAGCCCCATTTAACAATTGATCTCCAAGGTTTTCCAAGTGGTTTTTGAGTTGTGAAGCCTCCAAGTTGGAAGATTTGTTTTGCTTCATCAATATTACATCTTGCCCCCCTATGCTTATCCCTACTATTATATGAGTCCCATATTTTTCTATGAATCTGCAAAATAACCACCAAAACAGTAAACAATTAGTAATGAAAATAGTCATCATAACTTATGGTCGATCGAACGTAAGGTTGTGAGGTAAGAAACGTACGCCTGCACATACACTAAAAATGCACATACGGATCTTACAGTCCTCTTAGACATAACGTTATGCTATAACAAAAAACCATACTTACCGAATGGTTTGATGCAGAATGATTAAATGATCAGAATGATTATGAGACTCTCATGATATAGTGCAAAATAGAATATAATTGTTTGATAATTATTTACAATGAAATTAGAACGATGAATAGTTAAGGGAGACTCATGATGCAAAACCATTCAGAGAATTTTAGGATCATTAAGAGACAATTTTTTTTTTCTAAACAATATTCACCTCTTAACGATTAAGAGACTGCCTCTTAATAGAACTATTAAAAGATAAACAAACAATCCCTAAATATAAAATTTAAAATAATTAATGAAATAACAAATTACGTCATCATTGAATGTAACCATTGTTTTAAGGAAAACTATGATGTCATCATGATATAATTGAAATTTCTATAATTTCCTTGATATTTACATCTAACCAACTACTCAAATGACACCTCTTAAACTTGGAAAATCCGTTGCGTCCAAAAACTAATCCGATACAAAAGATAAAATAGCGATTAAACTACATAAATCATTTATCTTTTAGTGTTTACAGAATTTCATCTAATTATAATTATAATTATATTATCAAATTTTTTAATTTATTATTTTAATACACTTTAAAAAAATCTTTAACAAATTATAGCGTATTAAATCTTTAGTGGGAACAATCAAACCAGTATATATCATATTTGCATATTTTTATCTGTTCTATGTTCTTTTCTCTATTATAACATAACTGTTAAAAACCCTCACAAAAATCTCAACTTTAACATAACTGTTAGAAATATTCTTACATATAAGAAATGGAACCCAGTCGATGGATCGATAGTGTCATTAAGGGTTTTCATCCAAACCACCCACGCTGCACCGCAAAACGTGATTTTTAGAACATCTGCGATGCGGTTTACAGTTTGTATTTTATCAAAATGTATTATGCGGTGTGGTTTGAGATTTTAAGTTATTAAAACGTGGTTCAAACCGTACCGCATATTTTATATATTTTTAATGTTATATATCCGCGGTCCAATTTAGTTTGAAGTTTATTTTTTTTTACTTTTTAGACTATATATATTAATTATGCAATATGTATTTGAGAATCAGATATACTGAAATATATTATTTTTGGACTACAGTCACGTTATCGTTAAGATTATAACGTGTTTTCAAACTTAGAATTATTGGATTATAAACATAAAATTCAATAGGTACAAACCGTATAAATCGTACTGTATTTTACGATGTAAACTTTTTACGGTCTAAGGTTTACGTGACACGGTTTAAGGTTTTCAAACAATACCAAACCACATCGCAAACCCCTACTGTCATTGAAAAATTGGTTACCCTAATTAATGAATAATCAATGGGAAGGGGGTTCTGTACTATTTCAAAAGGGAATGCATCATGAGGATGTAAACTCAGCCGTTGATGTTGTTGACTTTTTTCAAAGAACCATCTGACTGGTCAAACAAGGAAAGCTTTTACCTGGCAATTGTTGACATTTATAGAAAATATTTTATCATCTTCAAAATTATACTCCAGAATATTATCCTTAAATAAATTATATACCAAACTATATTTTATATTTATTTAATATATTATAATAATAATAATAATAATAATAATGAAGGTGGCGATTTTTTGACTTGTTCAACCGTCGTGGGTCAAAATCAGCCATGTTTGCACCACCATAAAATCAATGCAGTCCCACCTACTAGATCATGTCATGTTACGCTTATTTGACATTATAATTCAGTTTTATAGGTAATATTCTAATTATTATTTTTCTTATTTTTCGATATTTATTGGATTTTTTTCAAGATAATTTAGAGCGTTTTGAAGTGAAGATTAAGATATTAACATGATGAGACAAGAAAACCGGTGACGATTTTTCGTACCTTGCAAGAGCGGGTGGATCCCAAGTAGTCGGGACAGCGTTTCGAACTTCATCGGAAAGAATTAACGGATAACGATCGATATGGACGTTAAACAATTGAATGAAGTAACCATCCAACCCTAAATACTTGGTGTTAGCGGCATCCGTTGCCCACGAACCACTTTGAAACCCGAACATGGCGTTAAAAAACCCGTTTGGGATTTTCCCGGGACCCGAGCACTTTTGGTTGAAAAACTCCGACATCTAAGAGCATCACAAGCTCGTTATTTCAAAACCAAAAAAGATGACACCAAGCATTCTTTTCCACACTCAAAACCCACAATTTATTTACCTGATTGAAGTCGAGGATGTCGGATTGAAATCGAACCCGATCACCTTTGTCGCATTTGATATCGGAGGATGCACCTTTGAAGGAGCCGAATCCGGGTACAAGAAGGTCCTTGGATTCATTTTCGTTGAGGAGGACTAAGCGATGTTTGCCTTTGCAATACTTCAATCGAAAATCGGATGTTAAATCAAAGCCTTTTCCGAGAGAGTCGATGGCTTGTTGGATGAGTTTTTGGGTCATCGTGGAGGAAATAGAAACCGAGGGTAGGGTTGGGTTTTGGGAGAATTGAATGGATGTTCATATGGGGTTTAAATATGTGCATGTGATGAAGGACAAAAACATGATTTGAGAATTTTGGGGACGCCTCGGAAGTTTCATTCGTTCCTTTGTTTTTTATGACTGGCAACTCTTTTGTATCCATTGGAAAGCCGACCTAAAATGGGAATATATATATATATATATATATATTTACTATATTATAAAATATTTGATCAAAATTCTTAAAAACTATTTTTTATGTATGAATTATTTTTTATTGAGGTATATTATTTAAAATTTAAAATTACAAGTGATTTTAGGTGAGTACAACTTATTAAAATTTTATTTTTAAATTCGTGTAACTAACTGCAGATAAACATAATTAAATACAAGATAAACATCTAATTTAAATATAAAAAATCTAAAATATAATTAACATAATGAAATATGATCAAAATTTGAATTAGACAATGTAGACCAAAAAAAAAATTTATATTTTTTTCTCGTTAATTTGGCATCTATATTCATGTATTTTTCATTTGTTTTTTTCGTGATTTTTCGGTTTTTCATTTATTTAACGTTTTCATGAACATAACCCTATATATAGGGTTGGGTTCACGTGAGACTAGTCTATTTTCGTGAGACCCGTAAGATCACATGATAACATTGAAAATTCACAGCAAAATATTGTGAATGTACGGAAAACATAAAAACTTGACGGTGTTTTTTTTTTTTTTTTTGTGAAGGTTCAGTGTTATTTACGTGCTCTGAAGGGTCTCATGAAAATGGTCTGGTCTCACATGATCACAATAATCACAAAATTGCCACGAGACTTCTCAATAATTACAAAATTGTCACTGTGAAATTTTAGACCATTAGATCATTAACTTATAAAGTTGATCAATGAATATAAATTGGTCTTACGGGTCTCACGAAAAACCATTGGTCTCACGTGAACCCAACTTTAATCGACCAATAGGAAAATTTTAAGAAACCGTGTAAACCAAAATTGACCAATAGGAAAATTCCATTCTTTTTTAATTAAATTTAATCAATAAGGGTATTTCGATCATTTTTATTATTTTTTTGATAAATAAGGAAGTTATTAAGGAATATTAAATAAGGAAATTTAATAATGGAAATTATATAAATGGTAAGATTTAAAGATTTTAATATATTATAATATTAAAAATTGATTTTTTTTTTGTTATTCAATGAATCTGGAAAGTTTTATGAAGATTCTAGCTTGTTATGGAATGAATTCTTGATTTGAGGTTGGAAGAAAAAAAAATCAATGGTCATGAAACTGTTTCATTGTGAAAAAGTTTCATTGTACAATGATATATTTGCTACGTCTATGCATATTTTACATTTTAATGAAATAAGTGCTTTGTGATTGAAGTTTCATGGTGATCCATGTTGCTTTGTGATTTAATGTACATCTAGTTTCATGGTGATCCATGTTTCTTTGTGTGTGTGAAGTTGATCCGTTTAATTGGTAGGATGAAACCGGTGCATAATATATTAATGTTCATATGAAAAAGTTTCATTATAATGATACGGGTGCATAATATATTAATATTCATAATTAAAAGGTTTCACGTTAATGAAATAGGTTCATGATGGTGAAAATGTTGATGCTCTAATTGATTCATGATTCATGATCTAGTTTCATGGTGATCCATGTTACTTTGTGATTGAAGTTGATCCATTTAGTTGGTAGGATGAAAATGAAACGGGTGCATAATGTATTTTATTCTTTATGAAATAAATGTATGATGAAACGGGTGCATATTATATTTTGTTCTTTATGAAATTAATATTCATGAAACTGTTTCAATGTGAAAATGTTTCATTATAAAATGGTTTATTTTTTGTTTACCAATTTTGCCCTTAGTATTGAAATAAAATAAATTTTTTATTTTTTTTATTTTTTAATTTCCTAAAATAAAGTAAACTAATCTTAGCCATTGATCAAGAAAATGGATGGATGAGATTGGTTTACACAGTTTACACAAATGGGGCAAGTTTTTATTTGAACGCTCATCTCTCTCTCTCTCTCTCTCTCTCTATATATATATATATATATATACACACACACATATATAGATGTATGTTTGGGGGGGAGGGGGGAATTCAAATGGGAAACATCTTTTTTACTTAAATACAAAAACACTTAGAAATCCATTATTTTGATTTGTTACAGTTTTAGAAGAACTAAAAGAGCAGTAAGATATTAAATAAATATTTACCATTTTTCTGGAATATTGGAGGTATGCAGGGTAAAATGAGCAAAAGAACTGTATATCACATAATGAACAGACATAGCCAATAATTATGGACATGTTCATCACTAGTTTCCGATAATTTAACACGACAACGAACTTTCAAACAACCGATTATTTGTAGTTAACTTTCATTTTTTTTTAAATAAATTGATAAAAATTAAGCCGACATTTTATAAACGGTTAATTTTCAATAACTAGTACAAATTATTAAATTCCAATGACTAGTAGTAAATGTTCTTTTTGACAAATTCGACTAATTTATAAAGTAATACACTATCATTTTATCTGTTTAACTTTGACTATTCTAATTCTTTTGCTTCCTAATTTCTTCCTCATCTTGAAAGTATTCTTATGGCTCGTTTTTTTGATCTAAGCATTAATTACTTCATTGATACAGATACGAATTCGAGGAGGAGCAGAGAATTGTTGTTTGAACAACTGAAACTAAAAGAAGAATTAAGAGGAACAAACATTTGAATTAACTAGAAGGGTACTCGCGCAATGCAACGAGATACATCTTGATTTTAATATTTTATGTTATTCTTTATCTCAGTCGATGTTATAGTATGGTCTTATGTGATTTTGAAAAATCGATAATGTTTTTATTTTTGAATAAAATATAAACTTGAAAATATCATAAAAATTTGACAAAAATATATCGATATTAGTATCAAATTAACTATTTAAAATTCATAGTTTTTGTGTAATTTTTTAATTCAATTTTTTATAATTTAATTTATTAATAACAAAGTAATTTATATTTGGTTTAATAATATATTTTTCTTATAAAAATAATAATTAATTATTTTGTTATAACTCGATAATTATCCTAATTATATTTTAGATTTTTTTATATTTTAAAAGAGATATTTATCTTCTATTTAATTATGTTTATCTACAGTTAGTTACATGAATTCAAACATGAAGTTTTAATAAGTTGTACTTACGCACAATTTACTTCTAATCTTGAATTTCAAGTAATATGCATCAATAAACAGTACGTCATGCTTAAAGAATAATTTTTTAAGAGTTTTTGTCAAATGCTTTATAATATAGTATAGATTCGAACCAGATAACGTATATAAAACCAGTAATTATTTTTAATAGAATTAAATTTTATCAGAAAACAGGTTTTTCACTAGAAAATAAAACGAGTAATTATTATTTAAAAAATACGATGGATTTTAAAAAACCATGTGGCTTAGTTTAAAATTTTGTTAGCCATCGTTCTGATTATTTATTAACAGATCAAACAAACAAATGTAAGGTAAGTGTTGAAAAAGAATTAAAAAATATATATATTTCCTTTTATTTGTTTGTAAATTATTAGCATTTTTCATTTTATAAAATAATAAAATTTAGTTCACTGTTTTAGAACATGTATTTTAATTTCTAAAACAAAACATATGTGAGTAAATTACATTTTTAGTGCTTGTGATTTCCACTCATTATCAACTTTGATCCCTATTTAAAATGAATTACATTTTTAGTCCTTGTCGTTACCATTTTATTTCGCTTTTAATCACTATGTTTGCCATTTGGTTTCAGTTTTGGTCCATCTCAAAAACTTCTGTTATATTTTTTTTTTGTTAACACCCAAACTCCCAAAGCTATCTTGGTCTTTATACACTATTTTGTTTTATTTTAATTTAAAAATAATATATTTATTTACAAACATGCAATCCAAAATCCAATCGGCGTGCAACCCACACACCCCGACCCTCCGTTCTCCAACGATAAACAAATCAAAAACCAAAAACCAAAAAAATAAATCCATCCCACACCCCTTGTTCATCTTCAACCACCACCGGCCACCCTAAGCAGCCAAACTAATCCCACACCTCCCCCCTGCACCATCGTGCCGGAGTAACTCTACAAGAGAGACGGTGCCACTAATTTATGTATTATTATTAAACAATTAAAGAAAATAGTAAAAAGACTATAATACCCTTAAGTTAACTAGGTTTCTTTGACAGAGTTAGTCAAAGAGACCAAGAATGAAATAAAATGACAACCTTAATGACCAACAATGTAATTAATTTTAAATAGGAACCAAAGTTGATAGTGATTGGAAACCACAGAGACCAAAAATGTATTTTACTCAATATATGTTATAAAAAATGATTTAAAGACGGCTATTTTTGGAATTTTTGTATAGGGATTGTTAAAGATATACAAGTGTCAGTAATTGGCTCAGTTCTCATGGATCAGTCCCAATAGTTAAAAAATCATTTGATGACTTGTGGCTATGGGTGAAAGGCCAATCAAGATGGAATATAACTGGTTTTCTGTGAAATCTAACTGTAGTCTTCTTGTCGTAACCTAAGTCCAGGAACGGATCCTTTCGTCTGGAATGATTGAAAATTAAGACCACTTTCAGCCTCTAACAGCTTTGAATCGAGTTCGATTTCGTTTTAGTTCTTATAATTGTTACATATAAAAAGTTTTTGTTCTGCTTTTGGAGAAGCAACAATCAAACATTCGAAATCTTCAAAAAAATGGTTATTGTTGCTTCTGCAAAAGCATTTAAGACATCTGATCCTAATCTTACCATTTTCTACACCGACCCTAATTGGTATACAAACTTAATTGATACATCATTGTAACCTGTCTTCACGGTCTGGATTTGATCTTTAGTACTTTTGTACATCTCCAGGGGCTGTATACGTTTTTCTCAATACTAATTATAGTAAAACGGATGTTTTTATATTTTTGGGGTTAAGTTA